GCCGAGAGCTGCCGCTCATGCCGCCCGCGTGTGGCCAGGTGGCGGTAGCGCGCGAGGCGGCCGAGGCGCGGGAGCGGGAGCAGGGCGGGGGGTCTCCGAGCCTGACGCGGCTGCTCTCGCTGGCGCCGGAGACGCTTCGCGCTTGGCTGCGCTCCTCTTTGGCCGTCCGAGGTGGGGCGGAGGCGGAGGAGGCGGCGGAGGCATCGGCGGCGAGGGCGGCGGCGGCGGAGGCGGCGGCTGAGGCGGAGGCGGCGGCGGAGGCGGAGGCGGAGGAGGCGGAGGAGGAGGAGGAAGGGATTGCAACCGAGGCGGGCGGGGAGGCGGAGGGAGAGGCGGCTGCGGCGGCGGCGAGCAACTTGCTTCTGCGCGCGCGGTGACGGCGGTGGAGCCTCGCGGAGCCTTCTCGGACCCTTCCCGCAGGCGGAGCAGGTGGTTCTGAGCCGCGAGTGGCGGTGGCTGGTCTCGCTGTCCCTCGACCTGCCTCGGCCGAGCTCCGGCTCCGGCTGGCGCCCTCCTCTTCTCGAGCAGCTGCCGCCGCCTCGCTGCGCTCCCCCTCTCTTCACAGCTCCGGCCGTGAACAGGTCGCTCCTCTTCTCGAGCAGCTGCCACGGCCGGTCGCTGCACACGCTCGCTGAGCGGGTGCGAGATTGCCCGAGATTAGCCGAGATTGCCCGAGATTGGCCGAGATTGGCCGAGATTACAGCACACGCTCGCCGAGAAGGCGCGCAGCTCTGCCGCGCAGGGTTAGGGTTTAGGGGTAGGGGTAGGGGTAGGGTAAGGGTTAGGGGTAGGGGTAGGGTGCGGGCTAGGGTGAGGGGTAGGGGTAGGGTAAGGGTTAGGGGTAGGGGTAGGGTAAGGGCTAGGGGTAGGGGTAGGGGTAGGGTAAGGGCTAGGGGTAGGGGTAGGGGTAGGGTAAGGGTTAGGGGCTGGGTTAGGGTTAGGGTAAGGGTAAGGGTTAGGGTCAGACTGCGCAGCTCTGCCGCGGCGCCGTCTGGAACGTCTTTGGAGCTGGCAAGGCACCTTCCTGGAGCTATGCCGGTAGGTGCACTTGTACCGCGGTGGAGTCGTTGTTGTGGTGCGGGAGGCGTCTGGGGCTCTGCACGCCGGCTTCGCCGCGTCGGGCCTGCTCGCCCCTCGCGATTGCCTCCGAGATCACCCGGGAGCACCCGAGATTACCTCAGATTACCTCAGAGTACCCGAGAGGACCCGAGAGGACCCGAGAGGACCCGAGATGGCCCGAGAGGACCCGAGAGTACCCGAGAGTACCCGAGATGACCCGAGAGTACCCGAGAGTACCCGAGATGACCCGAGATTACCCGAGATTACCCGAGATGACCCGAGATGATAGGCCTGCTCGCCCCTCGCGATGCCTCCGGCGCTCACGGCGTCTACTTTGGGGACCGCCGTTGCTGCTTGCTCAACCTCACGCCCGCACTGCAGCCGCTGCGGTCCCGGGCTTCCGCAGCGGTCGCGGCGGGGAGCGGCGCGGCGGGCGGCGGCGGCGGCGGCGGCGGTCCTCCGCCGCCGGGCCGCAACTTTGTCTACTTCAACAACCGGAGGGGCGGCCGGAGGGGTCTGGGGTTCGGAGGCACGCCCGCCGAGTCATCTCGGGCTAGATCTCGGCTAGATCTCGGCTAGATCTGGGCTGGGTCTGGGCTAGATCTCGGCTGGGTCTGGGCTAGGCCTCGCGGAGATCTCATCTCGCCTCGGCTCCTCTCGGCTAAGCCCACGCTTGCTGCGGCTCGCCGCTGCACACTGGCGTATGCGTCGTCTGGCTGCGTTGCTTTCTGTTTAGGCACGCTCGCGGCGCCTCGCCTCTGGCTCGACCCGTCCCTCGAGCGAGGCTAGCTTCTCTCTCTCTCTCTCTCTCTCTCTCTCTCTCTCTCCCTCTCTCTCCCTCTCCCTCTCCCTCTCCCTCTCCCTCTCCCTCTCTCTCTCCCTCTCCCTCTCCCTCTCCCTCTCCCTCTCCCTCTCC